GTTTTATCATGGATTCATCCTGAAAGTCAAGCCACAATCACTCGATGTAGCCAGCCTATGGTGGGAGTAAGTGGGAAGCGCAGTAAAGAAGATGAAAAGTACCTTCAAGCTATCATGGATTCCAATGCCCAATCTCATAAAATCTTCATATTTGATGCCCGGCCCAGTGTTAATGCTGTTGCCAATAAGGTGAGATTGTCTCACTTTCAGTAATTAAGCTTGCAGTGACAAGTTTCATGAATCAGTTGAGCTTGGCTGGGGCCACAGTGTAATGGAAAGAGCTCAGGCTTTCGAAGGATAAAGATGTAGGTTCTAATCCTAGCTTTCCTATTGGATGGTTTTGTGACTTCATTAGTTATTCAGTCCATTTAGATGTTAATCGCTCATTAAAAAACTCTAAATAGCAATAATTGTCAAGGTTGTTTTAGGAGCAAAAAATTATCTAATACAAACTGTTACATAATATAAACATACCTAAATCCAAACCTAATGCTGTAGAATTCATTCCAACTCATAGCAACCCTGTTGGATGGATTAGAACTGCCCCATAAAGTTTATAAGGCTGTAAATCTTTTATTTATTTTTGAATTTATTTTTATCATTTATTGGAGGGCTTTTACAAATATTCTGACAATCCGTCATTCAGTTGTATTAAGCACACTTGTACATATGTTGCCATCAACATTTCCAGAACATTTCCTTTCTACTTGAGCCCTTGGTGTCAAAAAGCTCCTCTTATTTCCCCTCCCTCCTCCACCCTCTCCTCCTCATGATTCTTTGATCAGTTATATATTTTTGTTCTTATTTCATGTCTTTCACTGTCCATTGTCACTCTTCATCCACATTTCTAATATTCATCCCCCTATGGCATGGGCTATACATCCAACTTTGTGATGGGTTTACCTTTTCTCCCCCTTCCCTCTCTCCCTCCCACGCCCCCACCACCCCTTTACCTCATGTTATCACTACTGTTCCTGAGGGGTTTATCTGTCCTGAATTCCATGTGTTGAGAGCTCTTATCTGTACCAATGTGTGTACTCTCGTCTAGCCGGATTTATAGGTAGAACTGTGTCATTGTAGTGTGGGGGAGGAAGCATTCAGGAACTAGAGGAATGATGTGTGTTTTGTCAGTGCTGTACTGCACCCTGGTTGAATTATCACTTCCATGTAACCCTTTATGGGGGGGGGCTGCCCAATTGTCTACAGATGGACTTTTGGGTTTCCATTCCAACCCTCCTCTTTAACATCGATATAATTGTTTATTTTGGATCTTTTGATTCTGGATACTGATCCTGTTGACACCTCATGATCACACAGGCTAGTGTGCTTCTTCCATGTGGGCTTATTTGCTTCCCGGGTAGATGGCCACTTATTTAGCTTTAAGACCTTTACAACCCCAGATGCTGTATCTCTTGATAGCTGGGCACTGTCCACTTTCTTCACCACGTTTGCTTATGTACCCATTTGGTCTTCAGTGATCTTGTTGGGAAGGTGAGTATCAAAGAGTGCCTGGTTATTAGAACAAAGCGTTCTTGTGTTTAAGGTTAGGTGACCAGATTTTAACATTGGTAAAGTGGGACACCATTGATAAAACTCATATCCTGGCAAAATAGCCACATGGCAGCTGAAAACCGTATACCCTAGCTTGTTGTGAATGCTTTCCAAAAATCGGGACTTGTTTAAAATGCCAAGGGACGCAGGAAAAATTGTTAAAAATCTGGACGTCTGGTCACCTTAGTTTAGGGAGGCCTTTAGTAGAGACCCAAAGTCCATCTGCTATCTTAATACTTTAACATATAAATATATGGATGTTGACCTCAATCCCTTTCATTATAAATGAATATATTTAATAATGTAAATCTTGACAGAAAGAGACTGCCACATCCTTTTTCATGGAGCAGCTGGGAGCTTCAAACCACTGCAACCACTGTCCCATCAGGACCCCTTAGCCATGTGCTTAGTGACACATCAAATTATTCCTAATTATTCGTATATTTCTCCCTTCTCCAAATGCAATAATGACTTGAGCTTGTGTTTGCACAGTACTAATGAGTAAGAATAGCAAAACAGTGTTCTCACTGACAAGTCACTACTGACTTCTTCCCATCTGTATGAATTCTTCAGTCTTTGAAGAACTTGTAGTTAACTATAGTAATATTTCTGATTTCTGCTGTAGAATAGATATTTGCATTGTGCCTAGAAATTTGGATTAACTTGATACTGTCTAGCAAAACAAAAAAGAATAACATTTTGAAAAACATATCTTTGTTTTTACCACCACTAAGCAATGTTTATATTGTCTTTTAACTGCCATTTTAGTTTCATTTTCCATGAACGTTTAGAAGCCCCTTTGCTCATACTTATGCATTGAAGAAGAAAACGTTTTAAGCATTCCAGTGAAAGCCCTATAGCTGAGAGAAACCCCTTTGAATCTTGTTACACTTCCAGATTTGTGTGTATGCATACACATAAATTTGTAACAAAAGTGGCATCATTTTAACTTCCTCTTTTTAATTCATACTACATGCCATAAGGTCAGTAAGTACTCATCTACAACATAAATTATTCATTCACTAATCAAAGCCACCATTGTTGGATATTTAGATTGGTTGTGATGTTATTGCTATTATCAACAATATTGGATGATTGTTCTTTTAATTAAATTTCAGAGCATTTACCTAGTTACTTTCATCCTGCTTAGCTTTTTCAAATCATTGGGCAATGCAGACTTTCCCTATTAAATTGTAAATATTCCTCCTTATAGGACCTGGGAGGGATGTGGCATTCTAAACCATTATCAGTTTAATGCTTTAGTTACAGGGCATAATGTGTGTGTAAAGCACATTGCCCACGGTTAGTTTGTATTTTTCCAGTAATTGTTAGTTTTCCTCCCTAAGATTTACAGTACCGTGTGAATGAACAGGAATGAGCTTTAGTATTGTTTTCAGGGAGAGAGGAATAGAGAGTAGAAAACGACCTTATATCCTGTTACATATGTGTTTACCATGGCTTGTGCGCCTGAGAATATGTCAGGTGATGTAGGAATACACTCTCTCTCAGCTTGGACAGAGCTCCTGATGCCATGGCAGAGGTGGGGAATTTGGCCGAGGACATTGTTCAGGTGGTGGAACATACTGGCAAATGACCAGAGAGAAATGAGCGCAGGCAGTTTCAGAATGCCTAAAAGCAAGATCACCAGCCAGTGAGTTGGATAAAAGGAGAGAAAGTGTGAGCTGGTTGTGGAGGAAAAACATGGCTGCTGCTGACTTTAGTTGACTCTTTTTGGTCGTGATGCTGGAGACCCTTTCCCCCCACCCTGTGGACATTTGACTTGGAAACAAAGAGACACTTTTCAGACCCAGTCAGGATGCCCGTGGAGGGAGAACTAAAGCATGTTCATGGAAGTGTTCTGTGACAGCTACGGAACACTCCGAGAGGGCTGTGTGGATGTCTGTTGAAGGCGATATTCCAGTTGGTTGAGAGAGTAAGCACCAGATCTTGGGTCAGCAAGGAGTTGCTATTATAACACACTGGAGGAGATGATTATTAGGTTTATTGCGCCTTAAAACTTTGTAGTTCGGGATACCAAAGAGGAAGAAAGAAGCTTATCTATTCTGTTCTGGATTTTAGCGTAATTTGCCATATTTATTGCAGTATATCAAGAAATGGCAAATTCAAAGCTTGTTATTTACTCACTAATGGAATTAAAAACGAGTGTGGTCCAGAAAATAAATAAAAAAAGAAAATGACCTGTAGTGAAATGTTGTATTCTACAACCTTCTTTGAAAGAAATTATTCACAAACATATTTCACTACGGATATCTCTTCATTGTTAATTTGCATAAGTATGCATCCTTGTTTTAAAAAAAGTGTGTACCCCTGTATTAAGACATTTTTAATAACAAAGCATTATGCATAACGAATGTTCTTTTGACTTCATGCCCACATCCAAGGTTAAAACTGCTAGTCACCACCCTTTATCAAAATGACTTTGTAGCCCACTGAAAGTAACCACTGCCTACTTTCAAGGTGCTCTTTCCTTTATTTATCTTTATATATTCAGTGCCATAGTGCACACCCCTAGATTCTGTTGTTGAGTATTCCCTTCCTCTCTCTTTCTTCATGGTAATTTTTATTTGTACAGTATCCTATCGTCTGAATTTTGCTAATCACATGTTCGTGATATGGTTACCTTTCTTCTATCCTCTGTACTTCCTTCAAATTTAACAGATAAATCCAGAGCATCATTTGTAATTTGGTTCAATTCTGGGCAAGACTGTAGGTTCTGCAGTCTAGGTTGTGTATAGGATTGCTATGAGCCAGAACCTAACAACAACATGGGTGGCACAAAGGAGCCCTTGTGGTGCACTGATTAAGTGCTTAGCTGATAACCAGAAGTTTAGTGGTTTGAATCCAGCAGCCATTCTGCAGGAGAAAGATGTGGCGTTTGCTTCTATAAAAAGTGTAGCTTTGTAAACCCTATAGAGCAGTTCAGTTCTGTCTCATAGGGTTACTAGAGTAAAAATTAACTTAATCAGAAATTTGGTTCTTGTGGCTGGTATAGTTGATATATCAGGAGGCACATCTGAAATGCCTAGTTGAGTTTCCCTTTTGGAATATTAACAGCTGTATTCGTTGAGAAGGCTGAAAAAATCGTGATACTCTTATTTCATGATCGCCCGCTGAAGCTAATAGCTGAACTCTTTCTATAACCTCTTTCTATAAAGAGGCACTTCATTTTATCTATATTTTCATTAACCAATGAAAGAAAAAATAGGATGTAAGGAAAATGGGATAAATGCTTGATTCTTTCCCCTGATTTATGAATTTCCCAATTAAAAAATGTACTCCCTGTTATCCCTAGAAGATGACAAAATTTTTAAAGTATTGTTAGGAACCAATGCATTTGAACATATTTGATATTTTCTAACTGTTGCAAATATTTCATTTTTGAAGTTAAATTGGTCCCATCTTTACTCAGTGGTAGCCTTTGTCATTTTAATACATCCATGTAAGGAAGTCAGCACAGAAGTATACATCCCGTGTTAGAAGTGTGTAATCGTGCTAGGTTGCCTTGTTCTTGGGGTGGCCGTTGCCATGCAGTTGATTGCAGTTCCTGAGGACGCCATGTGTTAGAGTAGAGCGACGCACAGGGTTTTCTTAGCTGTCATCTTCAGTGAACCTAGGTATATCTTCCATTCTGTAACTGGATAGGTTTGAACCTCAGCCTTCGTTAAGTTACAGACCTCAGGCTTTTTTTTAAATCACCATTTTATGTCTCATTTTTGTGCACCTGGGTCTTTTATGATGTCCACGTGTAAATGATCATACAGTGGATGCGCCTGCATTATTTCCTGAGATATGTGCCTTTTTCCAGGCAAAAGGTGGAGGTTATGAAAGTGAAGATGCCTATCAAAATGCAGAACTAGTTTTCTTGGATATCCACAACATTCACGTTATGAGAGAATCACTGCGAAAGCTCAAAGAGATTGTGTACCCCAACATTGAGGAGACTCACTGGTTGTCTAACTTGGAATCTACTCACTGGCTAGAGCACATTAAGGTGGGTATGTGTTACTGTTTCTATATAGAAAATCAAATGGGAACACTTTCTCTGCTTTGTATTTACGTGTTGTCTACAGTTACGGTCAACATGAAGGTTGATGATGTATGAGATAATGAGAAAATGATAATGCCCTGAAAATGAGGACTAATTCTAACTTTTGATATTTACATTTGGCTCTGTTGTACTTTCTTTCCTGCTGTTTCCCATCTTACTTGCTTCCTTCCTGTTCTTCAGATCCCATTTCTTAGTTCATCTCTTCCATTTTGAAGTCTTTCTAGACCACAGCCGTGCCCATTTCCTGTGAACTCTTCATGGTGTGCCACGCCCCAACCCCCCTTATTCAGGCATGATCCTGCACTTCATTTAAATGTTTTTATGTTGCAATTAAAGTATAATGTCACCTATGAAAATCAAGGATGGATCAATCACATTTCTTTGATGCCCTCTTCAGGAGCTTGGGTAGTATTGTCTGTATAAATCGCAGTCACAAAATACAAACCCATTGCATGATCACTTCTTGGCCTTTTGACCACATTAGGGCATTCTTATCAGGGAAATGAGTTGGAGTAGTTGAATAAATTAGACCATTAAAATGTGAAGACAATCTGGAAGTCTGGATGAAAATACTAATTTGCCTAGCCTGCTAGTATGTTTGAAGCACCAAACTATTTTTCCAGTTAATATAAAAACTAAACATTGCCATTGAGTCAATTCCAGCTCATAATGACCCCATGTAGGATTTCTGAGACTGTTAAGTCTTCACAAGAGCAGACACAGCCTCATCTGGTGGATTTGAACTGTTGACCTGGAGGTTAGCAGCCTAATGCTTTATCCACTAGGTCACTAACTAGGATTCCTTCAGTTAATAGAGTGATATATATATATATATCAATCATACATATATGATCTGAATTTCATCATCATAACTTGTTATGTTAATATCACTTACCAAAATACAGACTTATGCTATAACCAAATTTATATTAATGTAACCATGTTTGTACTGATGGTATATGAACATTAATAATCTGAAATGAGGACTGCAATATTTCATGTTAAGAAGGAGTAGACTTAAACTCACATTAATATCTCTAAAATCAAAATTGAAGAGAAGGCAAAACAGAACTAAAGAGATTTACAATGATAGATGGTTTATTATTGTTCTTTATCTATACCTTTGAACATAGAAAAGTTTAGGAATTTTTCAGTTTGAGAGCATGTTCATATGACCCCTCTCTTAAAATATTTGGTGAACAAATATAAAACTAATTAATACTGTATTTGAAAATAACATAATTGCTGTCGATCCACTTTCCTCAGATCTCCCGCTCAAGTATCACCACCTCAGAGAAGTCCTTTCCCAGCCTCTCTGTACAACACAGTTCTGCCAGCCCTCTTCTGTATTGAGTGTGGACCATTGTGATTCACTGTCGTCTGGCATACTGTATATTCCCTGGTTTGTGTGCATATGGTTGGTCCCCAGAGTTGAATGCATCTTAATTAAGCAGGCTTTATGCCTGTCTCCTTCCATACTGAAAGCAATGCCTGTCACATGGTAAGCTACTCCAAAGTGGTTATTTAATGAACGAATTACTTACAGTGATGATTTTGGATAAACTCGCTCCCGGTTCAGCCTTGACTTTTCAGCTCTTCTAAATCTTCTGTTTGCGGATTCTTAGGTTTGAGTATTCATTTGAATGATTGGTGGAACTTAGGTGAAATAGTGAAAATATCGCTGGAGAATGGGGCCCATTGTTTTGTTGTTGTTCATGGCTGCCTAGTGCATAGTCAAGATTGAGATGGCATCAGAGTTACGCATTCCTGGAGTACATTTGCAGTGAGGATCCCAATGAAGTGGCCTTGGCAGTCTCTCAGCCTACGAGTCTGTTTTCCTTCGCCCTGACTCATGTTTGTGGAACCACACTGTTCATTAAGGCTGATCCAGCCATTGCAGAGAAAAATGAGGCTGTTCTCCCCATTTTAAAAATTATTATACTTTTCAGGGCCCGGGAGGCATCTGTTTGGTTTTATGTGAAGATCAATTTCACAGAAAACTATTTTGCAGTGTCTCTACATACTTAAGAAATAAACTAAAGTTATTTTAATTCTTCAGTAAATTGACCTGATAATATACAAATCTCATGAGAATATTTATTCATACCATATCACAGTGCAAAACAGTGCAGGGCCATAGCTGACCTTTTTGAGCTTCCTTAATGCGGTGGAGGTCAGGCATGCCTTCACCCTCTATCTTTTCTTTGACCTTATTTTAACTCCAGCTGCTCCTCCCATGGCACTGTATTTCTCTACTGAGTTGAGTAACCCGTTGCAATGGCCAGACAGAATTGGCGGACAAAACAAAACAATAGGGTTGATTAGGGAAGTGGACAGGTTACCACAAGTCAGGATCAGTAAACAGTAAAGATCCAATCCACGGTCCTCAGCAACGCCTCTTCTCAACCAGTAGCCAAGTGTCTCTCAAGTTCTCAGCCTCTCAGCAACTTGGTTCCTTGGCCTCTGCCTTTGTGGGCCAGCAAGCCAGCCTGATGTTCTGGCTTAGAGCCTCACAGTCTCAGCATTGTTCTTGTGCTGTCTCATGGTCTCCTTACCTCTGTCTCCGTTCTTGGCCTGGCTCCGTTGCTCTGTCATAAGCTGTCTGTGTCGCAGTCTCTATTGCCTCTGTTGTTAGCTTCTGCCATTTCAAACAGACCTCAAACATGCTCTGTTGGTAGCTCTCCTTTTCCTGTGTTCTTGTTTCTGAAGTGGCTTTTACACAGAGAAAGGGCTTTGGAGATGTTTTTTTTTCTTTCAGTAGACTGTACTCTCAAGGAAACAAAGGGTAGTGACTACAATTAAGGTGGGGAGACCCAACACATCCCACCTTAATCTTGTCCATTAGCATAACCAAGAACTCCCTCCAAAACAGGAGTATAATGGCAGGCAAAGAGGCTAGAATTTAGAATACATCACATAGGGGGACCACGGCTAGAGAGGCCATATTCATTAACGCTATCGCCACAGAAAGTAACTTAATTTAAAGATTTAAACAGTGCTTGCTGTGCTCTGGCACATATAAAAATCTTGACTGTTTATAGTCAAAATTATAAATAAATGCTATATAGTATATTAGAAGAGATCTAATTTATTTTGTTTTGTTTTTATTGTGTTCCCCTCCCCCCCATCATTTTATTGGGGGCTCTTACAGTGCTTGTAACATTCCATACATTAATTGTGTCAAACATATTTGTACATATGTTGCCGTCATCATTTGCAAGACATGTTCTGCTTGAGCCCTTGACATAAGCTCCTCCTTTTCCCCCCCTCTCCCCCACACTCCCACCCTCCTGTATCCTTGATCAATTATATATTGTTATTTCAAAACTTACACTGTCCTTTGTCTCCTTTCACCCACATTTCCATTATTTGTCCCTTTGCGGGGAGGTGGGAGGGAACTATATATCCAATCTTGTGATGGGTTCTCCTCTTCTTACCCTTTCCCCTCCCTGACAATCCCCCTGTCCTCTTGATATTGCTACTCCCACTACTGTTCCTGAGGCATTTATCTATCCTGAATTCCCTGTGTCGAGATCTCTTATCTGTACCAATGTGTGTTCTCTGGTTTTTCCAAATTTGTAAGTTTGAACTGGGTCATGGTAGTAGGGGGAAGAAGTATTCAGGAACTCGAGGAATGATGTGTTATTTGTCGGTGCTATACTACACCTTGATTGAATCATCCCTTCCTTATGCTACTTCTGTGGGAGGATATCCAGTTATCTATAGATGGGCTTTGAGTTTCCACTCTCACCCCTCTTTCGCATTGATTTAGTTGTTTGTTTGGGGTCTTTTGATACCTCTTGCTTGATCCCATCAACACCTCATGATCACACAGGTTGGTTTGCTTCTTCCATGTAGGCTTATTTGCTTCCCTGCTAGATGGCTGCTTGTTTGACCTCAAGCCTTTAAGACCCCAGATGCTATATCTTTTGATAGCTGGGCACCATCCACTCTCTTCACCACATTTGCTTATGTATCCATTTTGTCTTCAGCAATTGTGTCCGGAAGGGAGGATCCAAGAGTGCTAGGTTATCAGAACAAAGTGTTCTTGTGTTTAGGGAGGCCTTGATTAGAGAACCAAAGTCTATCTGCTATCTTAATACTTATCATATAAATATATGTACATTGGCCTCTATCCCTTTCATCATAAATTAATATAATTACATAAATATATGCCTGTAGCTATACCTCTATACATAGCTTTTGCCTGCTATTTCTTTCCTCTGTTTCCTTTCACCTTCCTCCTATCCCATTATCATGCTCATCCTCCATTTGGCTGTCAGTATTTCCTCTTGGGTACATTGCTCTTGATTAAGCCTTACCCGGCATTACACACCCTCCTCTCCATCAATTTTAGAAAGAGATCCAATTTTCTTGCTTTCAGGTACATATTCTAATTTGATTAAATATTGTGTTAAATAATAGACCATCAGTTGGCATAGCAATTCTTTTATTTAAATATATGATACTGGACTAGAACCTAGTCCTTCATATATCTTCCTCATACTGTTTATTTCTTTAGTACCTGAAGGTACTTTTCATTTGGATATTTCATTGTTCAATGTAATAAAGGTCTGCTTACATGCATATGAGGTTTTTCTAGTTTTAAAACTAAGATTTATTACCTAACATTTATAAGAATTATTTATAGGAAGGAACAATTGATTATTCTTCTCAGGTTACTGAGATGATTATCTCTAGCAAGTCTCTGTTAGTACAATTTGAAGGAGCACGTTTAATTCTTTAAAAATCTCATTAACAAGTCTTTTTTCCAGCTTATTCTTGCAGGGGCTCTTAGGATTGCTGACAAGGTGGAATCAGGGAAGACATCTGTGGTCGTCCATTGCAGTGATGGTTGGGACCGCACAGCTCAGCTAACGTCCCTGGCCATGCTCATGCTGGATGGGTACTATAGAACCATTCGAGGATTTGAAGTCCTTGTGGAGAAGGAATGGCTAAGCTTCGGACATCGATTCCAACTAGTAAGTAAAGAACCTTGATGTATCGCATGCGTATCACATAAGGCATGCACAATTTACACTTTTTGTTCGTTAGAAGTTTATCTATAAACTGAGCTTTTATTCTTGGAGGCTAACTCTCTCGAGCTTTTTGCTCTGTTTTTAGAAAGCGTTAAGAAATTCTGGTGTGACTCTGCAGTTTGGAGCTGGGGCTGCAGTTTGTCCATCTTCTGACACACTCTTGTGTGAAAGAACAGCAGTCACAGAGTGATTTTGATGGGTACTTTCACCTGTGACACTTCAGATTGGTAGGGAAGTACTGGAATTACAAGGCATTTTTAGTTTTCCTGTAGGCTTATAAGAAGTTGAGCGTGGCTTGTTTCCTGTTCTGAATTTAAAGGAGCCATACAGAATAGCATTGCTCATCAGGATCAAGGTCTAAAATTATTAGGCTGTACCAAAAGAAATAGAGTGAAACGGAAAGTTTCACTCAGAGTTGGGATTTAAATGCACTCTTTTTCTATTAGATGTCTTAAAATACTAAAACTGTGTGATTGTATATCTGTGTAAATGTTTACAGATAGTTTTATGAAAATGACAAAATTTTGAACCCTCTTTAGGCTCAAAATTTATTTCCATATTAGTATTGTTATCAAACCTCAAGAGTTGACAGTCTACTTTCTGCTGATGGAGACTTGACTTTTGCTTTCTGTTGTCTGAGACTCGCTTCAGAAGACGGTCAGAAGAAAAAATTATGATATCCCTTCAAATATCTGAAAGCCACTCCTAACCCTTCTTAGCTGCATTCTTCAGTCCTTGAAGATAACTAGTTTCTTCAGTCATGTCTCTGTCAGGCTAGCCTCCTCAACTCCCCAGTTGTTCTTTTGGACTTTGTTTATAGCTTCCTACAAATGTAGTATCAGAACTAATGACAGTTTCTTAACCTCCTACTTAAACAATACTGCCTTTTTGTATTTGCCGTATATCATAGTTGGGATTCATGGAGCTTTTAGTTATATAAATGATCAAATGATATTCTGCTGTGCTTCTGCCAAGCTCAGTAGAGAATAAAACACTAAATGGAATCAGAACTTGGGAACAGTCCCCTTGTCAGTCATGAGCTTCACCTGTGCTGCCCATAAAAGGGCTTCAAAGGCTCATGGGAAAATGGCATTAATAGAAAAGGAACTTTTTCAAGCCCTCTTGTATGCTAGTTGTGATCATAGCAAAAAGCAACGAGTGAGAATATTGGTTCCTAGACAAGAGGAACAGAGAGAGCAAGCCGTGTGTGGCTGAAAACGACCATGGTGAGACTGGGTATGGGGGAGGAGTACACTTAGACCCTGTCTGCAGGGGAGCTGCATTGTCAGAGGCCTCAAGTCATCAACAGACTTGGTTTCTGGGCAGGCATCTTCACAGATGGGCTGAAAGACTCTATGAAAGATGTTTTGCCTACCTGCTGTCTCTAATGTTAATCTTCAGTATCTATTTAGGTACCAGGGTATACTAGCCAGCAATAGGTACAGAACTGAAAGGTACAGACATTTAAAGTTGATCTTGATTGAACTGGTACTGTTAAATCACATTAGGCATCTGGGCTATTTATTCAGTGGGCTCATATTTTTTCAGTTCATTGTAAAGTGTACTATGAAAGACCATTTAAGTAAAAACATTCTTACTTCAAAGAAAAATGTCAAGGCTATACGTTTTCATATAACTGTAGCCCAAATTATACATTTCGCACTGTGTGAAGATGCTTGGACTTATAAATGACTAACTCCATTTATTGAATTTTTTTTCCTGCTTGTTATCTGAAAGCAGAATTTTAGCGCTTCGAGGAGTTTCAATCGAGAGGGGCATATTCTTGTGATTAATGCAGGGCAGTGACTAAACTTTTGGGTTTCAGTACCCCATTGTTGACAACGTTAAAGAACTTAGTTTATGTAGAAGATAGCTATAATTTCATATTAGAAATTAAATGAAAGAAAATTATTTGTCAATTTAAACAATAAATTTATTATATGTTAATATAAGTATTACTTCATCCAAAGTAAAGTTTAGTGAGAAGTGATACCTTTTTGCATATTTTTCAAATAAAGACTACTTTTTAAATGACAGCTAACTTTTCCTATCTGCTTCTCCCTCCCAGTCTGTTATATATGTGCTGGTAGATAAAGTGTATTGAACCCTCCGAGAAGCAGAACTCAGTGGGACCGCCTTGTTTTTTCTGGTCTTCCACCATTCTTGCCTTTGACAGGGTCCACACCAGTCACTTTGATTCACTTGTTTTGGTGGAAAATTTGGTGGAAGGAAAGTTTTTCTTCTCTAACAGCTGTCCACTTTGCACAGATTACACTTTCTCAGGGTTTCACTGTTTATGAAGAAATTTGAGCCACACTCAGGTAGGAGGAGAAGAATTTATTTAGTAACTTTTTCAGGTAATTGAGGCTTTCAGTTTTTGTTTTGTTTTTAATTTTAAAAGTAATCTTATTGGGGGCTCCGAACCGCTCATATAATATTCCAGACATCAGTTGTATCAAGCATATTTGTACATATGTTGCCATCATCAT